TTGGCATAATTGTGATATAGCATTTTATCAACCAAGTGTACTAACCAACTGTGGCTAATTTCAGAAATCATCAGTCAAGAAATCATGGAATGCTAGTAATCCTTGAGTTATGACCACTCAATCAGTGACTGTTTAAAATTCAAGAGGGCTTAATGGGGGGGGGGGGCTTACAGTGGTATGTAGTTGCAACTCTTGCAGAATTCCCACATTATGTGATTATGATCTGGGTGTTCAGATATCCAGTTCATGATTGCAACTTTGCAGCAAGCCATGGTCACATGACCACCATTTGTAACATCTTCCAGCTTGCCACAAGTAAGGTCAATGGTGAAACCAGCAGGCAAGGTTGCAAGTTTTCCTGTAAATTGACCTGCTGGTTTTTCTCCCAAGGAGCTCCATTATGGAATATGAGATCTCTAGGGTCGGAGCTGTGGTTAGACTCACCATGATGGTGCAGTAGTTAGAATGCAGGCTAACTCTGCCCACAGCTAGGAGTTCAATCCTGGCCAGCTCAAAGTTGATTCAGCCTTCCATCCTTCTGAGGTTGGTAAAATGAGGCCCCAGATTGTTGGGAGCAATATGTTGACTCTGTTAAACACTTAGAGATGGCTGTGAACAGGGGTGGGCTTCAAATAATTTAACAACCGGTTTTCTGCCCGGTTGCTGGGTGGGCATGGCCTGGTTGGCCTCCTGCATCACCCTGGGAGCAAAAACAGGCCGCAAGAGGCCCATTTTCGCCCTCCTCAGGCTCCGGAGGTTTCCTTGAGCCTCCTTGAGGCCTGTTCTTCGCCCTCCCCGAGCCTCCGCATGGGCCCTGCACTTACCTGCGATCCAAACGGGCTGCGTGGACTCCTGGGAGGGGAGGGGAGGGGTGGGCGGGACCAGCCAGTCATCAAAATTATCTGTTCACTGAACCAGATGTAAAATTAACATCTGGTTCAGCTGACCCAGCACAAATCGGCTGAAGCCCACCCCTGGCTGTAAAGTACTATGAAGTGGTATATAAGTCTAAGTGTCAACCCCGAAACGGCCTCTTTCATTCGGTGCTATTGCTATAGCTATCTGCATTTTTTGAGGCTCCCACTACTTAGCCTGCTCTCAGAAGTTACTGCACATGACATCGTCTCACATCATTTGCAAACCCTTCATCCTTTATAAAATAAATATATTTTTTATCCTTCTATTATCTTATTGGTATTATTATTATGATCATCATTATTCTATTGCTTTGCATGTACACTTAGAGCTTCTGCATCAGAGACAAATTCCTTGTGTATCTAATCACATTTGGCCAAATACATTATTCAATTCAATTCTTCAATTCCCTTCCCACTCTATAGCACCTGTGTGCGCCAGCCACCCCCACTCCCTGCAGCACCTAAACACACCTATGCACTCTTTGCTTGGGACTCCCACTTCTTCTTGCTTATCAAACTACTTAGTCCTGGAGTTATGGTAGTAAAGTGGCCAGCATTGCTTAACAATGTAAATTAGTGTTATAATTGCTGTCATAACCCAAGAACTACCTTTATGTACAAACAAACAATTAGTCTACCTCACTGTATAAATACATGACATTCTTACTATGGCCTACAATGCACTGAGAATATTCACTCATGGTTGAGTCAACAGAAGATTTCTAAACATGAAATTCAGAAGGAAATTAAAAGCAGAAGTTGCAGAAATACTCACTTTGTTTGATAATGTTTACTTACAAAAACTCTTGGGTAATAAAACAGGGATTTCTACATTTAAGATTAATTTGCAAGGAAAAATTTATTATCTGACTCTGGTACTTATATTTAAATTTGAGGATCAGGGTGTCTAGAATAATATTTCATCTATGATAGGTTACAGAAAGTTTATGCCTTAATAATTTTCATAAATATATCCCTGGATAAAATAAACAGGTTAAAGTAATTAATCAGATTTTCTAGGTACTATCTTATTTTATATTTTCATTAAGCCCTAACTTGATAGTGCTAACAGTACCGATATACAATTTTAAATGTCTATTCAGTGGTAAATTGCCAATGGTAAATGTAAAAGGAAAAAAACACAAAACACAGATTGTACTAGCTTCAACTCACAGAACTACAGTATCTATGGTATAAAGCTGCATATGCTTTGAGATCCAATGGGACCTTACTGCACACATTCAATTAATTCAGTATACTCACAATCAAATGTTTCAAGAGTGTATTGAAACAAAAAAGTTGTAATTTCCCCATTTTTAAAATACTAAGTGATTCAGCTTGGCGTGCACACTGCTGTCTTTACAGTTTGTGATTTTTGTTCTCCTAGATACTTTAAACATTTTAAAAGATATATATATATAATTATCTTTGAAAGTGCAGGAAGAACAGAACACCCGACTTTCATGTTTACAAAGATGAATTTTATCGAAATAATTTGAAAATAATTATATCACTGCATGAACCTGATGATAAAAAATACATATCATTTTAATAAGGGAAGCAAAATTTAAAATATTGCTAACATGAAAAAAAAAATTATATAAGAATAATTTAGAATAAGAAATTAACATAAAGGAACTAGCAGTGTTATTTCATATAATATTCCAGAAATTACAGTAATTTAAGTTCTTCTTAAGTATGAACAAAGAATGAAGGTGGATTGGTACTCATTTGACAAGTTCTGGGTGATTTGAAGTACATTAGCAAGGATATCCAACTTCAGGTAACATTAACAACAGAATACTTCCAGAATCTATACAGTACTGTATGCTGCTGATAAAAAATAAGACTGTTAAACCAGGAATGTGAAATTATGTTCAGGGCGGTGAGCTCCGCTCAAGTTTTATAAACAGTAAATACTTAAACTGTTTTTGAAATAAACTATGTGGTTTAGGATTCTTTACATTTGTTTACACATTTAACAATGTTCATAACCCATACCAATCCTAAAAAACTGTGTGACTATCAGCAATCACTGTTTTAAATTGGGTCCAAAAGCCTGCTGATATTCTACATTGTAACTTTATTAAAGGCATTATTCTATATAGCACGTTCTTTTAGCTATTAAATTTTGTACCAGAAGTAGATTCCATAGTCTCTACAATGGCAGCCCCATCTAGAACAGTATTTAATCAGGTAAAGCGGTATTGTGATGAAAACATCCTAATCCAGATAGGATAGTAAATGGCATACTTCCTCAAACTGGAGAAACGTTGACTATATAGTTGTGTTCTTTTAAAATACCACATTATGGTTTGCCTAATTAGTTTATTAAATAATATATGTTTATACCACATTTTAGTTTAGTTTTATGCTGCTTGAGGAATCTTGGGGTTATAAAAAGTAAACAATTTTACAAGCCCATCATTTTAATATAGAACAGATTATTAAATGCAGTACCAATGCTTATTATATATAAAGTTGATTGCATTAGAATGGAAAGTTATATTCCCAATCCTGAATATATATTTCACTTTAAACAATATAATATTATAGAAAGTAATTAAATCCTGGAAGTATTTCACACATAACAATGAAACAAAAGTAAAATATGTTTGCAGTAATTTTTATGCTACTTTAAAAAATATGGTTATGTACTGAATCCATTTCCTAACTACATAGTGTTACTCTGTCAACAGGGAGATTAGTTTATCCATCTATTCATGAATATGGGCTGAAGATAGAAAAGAATTAAACGTATTGGCAGGTGCCCCCAAAACCCTAATAGGTTTTGCAATACTTTTGTAACTTCTACTTCTCTCTTTTGCATGCAATTTGATCATTTCTTTAAAAAAATTGTGTCAAGTTAATATCTTTAAGTATAACATCACTCTCCACAGAGATGGATGTTAGTCAAAAATACACAAATCAAAGACTATTCATCTGAAAACAGGATTTGAAAAAAAAATGAAAAACCAAGAAAAGTGTTTCCTGTATCGTATGGGTTAGGGTTGCGACTGTGGTGACTGCCACAATCTTAAAAAACTGCCTCTGCCCTACCAACTGGAGCAACCTATTGTGGAATTCTGATAGCTCAAGAAGAGGACAAAAACCAGAAAAAAAATAAACTCCCATTGTGGCCAAAACAAAGCAGCCGCTGTTTTCAGCATCATCCCGGAGAGCACCCTTTCGCTTTCCGCACCAAGCAGGGAAAGCCCCCATACTCCCCACCCATCTGTCACTGTCCTCTTAGGCAGCCTGAGGGAGGGTGGATCTCTGCTCAAAAGAAGTTCGTGCTCCGTTATGTTAAATGGGGCCGCCCTTGGCGGGGTCAACGCAGGGGTCAACGCAGCGCACACAAGCCACTTCTGAAGCTTCTCCAGTTCGTGTGGCTGTGTTTGTGTGTGGTTTTGCTCTGTGTATGTGTGTGTATGTGTGCGTGCGTGTGTGTGTGTGTGTGTGTGTGTTTCCCCTCTCTCTCTCCCTCTGCGTGTTTCTCCCCTCT